CCCCCCCCTCCCCAGAATTTTTCTCGCACGATGGACGCGGCTGATATTTCGGGTGTTGTTCGTCGTCGACTCGTGATGTTCGGGGAAACCTGTAAAAGTTGAGCGAGCGACGTCCTCCTTGCTGCCTCTCGCCTGATGAATCTCGCCGATTTCCTTCCCTTCCCGCAAATCGATGCTTTCCTCTTTGTCAATCGACCGAAATCACTCGTCGCAACAGGAGCTTCCCCCGTCCGAGCGAATCCTCGTCTACGCTTTTCTTTCCTTTTTTCTTTTTCGAAATTGCCTCGTCGCGGACCCGGGAGACAGTTTTAACAGTTTACGTAGCAAAAATGTAAGACCCCGAGTGAAACCCTCGAGAGACTCGGCGCGCGAGACGCGCCAAAATTTCTTTTATGCCCGCCGGAGGCTTTAGGTACTTCTCCCTCAAGGGCCGCGCACTTTCGCATTGGGGATACGCGAGATGAAATCCGCAATCCGTTTCGATCATGCATGAACGATCTAGCTCCTTCGGCAATCCCGCCGGAAGACGGAGGTGGAAGAGGAAACATTCAAAATACGCGAGAAAGAGAGAGAGAGAGAGAGAGAGAGAGAAAGCGCCGAGAATGAAAAGCAGAAATTTTTACCGTCCCCACATTTTCGTACGCAACGTCGCGTTTAAGCAGCTTTCTTCGAGATTTTAAAGTAAAACGTCCCAAGGGACGGGGGTGGGCGACCTTTTTATCCTAAATATCGCGCGAATGGGGTCGCGCCGTCGGTCGGCTGGCTCGAATTATAGCACTGCATTTGCCTTCGGTTTCGTCGCGAGACTTTCGCGCGTCTCAAACGAAACGATCGTCGCAGCCGTGTAGACCTATTCTGTAATTTATAACGACAGTGAGTCGTTACGCTGTAACTGCTCAGGCACAATAATTGCGCAGGCCGTTGAACAGCCAAACGCATTACGATTCTGGAGGAAACGAAATTTCCGGTTGCGCGAGCCAAATCTGCTTCGTGAGAGCCGAAAATCTCCGGTTTCCTTCGGCCAGAACGCGTTCGGTCGTTCGTTAGATCGGCTCGTCATAGCTGAGGAAACGCTGAGAAAAATGCACGTGAAATTTATCCGCGGGGCGCAAAGTTCGCTCCCGTAAAATAAGGTTTATATTCCCGCGAAGTGAAATCTTGCGTCTTCCGCGAGGTACTCTTTTCAAGTACCCTTTTCTCAATGTCGAAACTTCGGTCCTCTTCCTTACAACGTTCGATCACCCACTCGTCTCGTAACAAAGTGCTAAAAGTGCAGCTTCATTCAGCTACGGTGAAAAATGTGTTTGGTCGAATCTACTTGACTGAAGGGAACGGAATCTCCGATTACGAGGATCGAGTTTGATTCGCGAGAAGTGACGATTTTGCTTCACTAAGACACCTTTGGTTGTCCGCCATTGTCCAGGCCAGATCCAACGGAAAAGTCATTTTTCAGTGTATAAAGAACAGTTTCGTCAGGCGGACTCGATCAGATTCATCTTTCAGCGCGTTGCGAAAATTCGACGCGAGCCCGCCGCGCACGTCGTCGCTCGGGGATTGCAACGAATCGAGTTACGGCGCGATCGTAGCAATTATCCCGGTGTTACGATCGATCCGCGGATCCCCCTCTCTCCCTCCCTCTAATGTTGTAATCGCGAACGTCGACGTTTGAATCTTTAATGCGACGTGAAACGTTTAATCGCGTCGCCGACGCGATGAATTCGCGTGGTGGTGGTAGTGGTGGTGGTGTTGTTGTTTAACAAGCGTCGCTGTACTACGTAAGAGGATGTTAAAAAAAGAAAGAAGAAGGAAGGAGAAACACACAGTCGAATGAAATGAAATTAATCTCGCCCCCGTCATTCGGACATTTTCAGCCGCCGCATATCCAGGACTCTATCCGGGAGGATACGTGGCCGCGATGGCTGCCGCCGGTGTCTCTCTTCACGGACAGCCGGCCTTCTACCACGCCGGCCACCATTATCAAATCAATCCCAACAACCCGGGAATGGGCCCGATGGCGAAGAGGAAACGTCGCCACCGGACGATATTTACCGAGGAGCAACTGGAGCAATTAGAGGCGACCTTCGACAAGACGCACTACCCCGACGTGCTGCTGCGAGAACAATTGGCGCTCCAAGTTGATCTTAAGGAAGAGAGGATCGAGGTTAGCCGAATTTCTTACCTTGTCTGCCTTTTTGCGTTTTATCCTGCCGGGTTTATCTCTGCCCCGGCCGGATTAGAAATTCAATTCTCGACGTTGCCCGATAATCCCGAATTCGAGCGTCGACGTTCCGACGGTGTGTGTGTGTGTGTGTGTGTTTCTCGCTCGCCCAATTAAACGTCTCAGTAATCAAGCCTAGCGCAATAGAGAGAGAGAGGATTAAAGTCCTGTCAGAACGAGGGGGGAGAGTAAAGTCGCGCGGTTCGGTCGTTAAAATCGAAGCCGGGGATACTCGGCGCTGCGCCGTCGTCATTGGCTGCGTTCGGAAGAAACGGTTGTATAATGATTCATTAACTCGTCAACGTAATTTGGTCTAAGTTTGAGGATTTGACCTGACAAGGCCTAATAATCGCTAATAAGTCGCCAATAAGAACGCTCACTGATCGCTTGTATTTCCCGAACGCAGCTACTGATCAAAGCGATATTAATCACCCTTCTCGCGCACCGAGAGAAAATTATTTGATGTATTGTGCAACTATAATCATCGTGCAGGGAGAGAATTATAATCGGGAGAACCATTTATCAAGTAAGCGTGAGCAAAGCGTGGTCGGCGACGACAACCTTACACGCACGGTGAAAAGTTTTTTCCGCGTCACATACGGTCCACCCGAATTTTCCGCGTTGCTCGAACGAGGTGATCATGCAAATTCAACGTATTTGTGTACTTTTCCTAACGTGAAGCCTATGTTGAAGTAACATGAAAATTTCGGCGGGCCGTTTATAGCAGAAAATTTTTTACCGCCCACCCACCACTTTTGTAGTTAGAACCATGAAAGGGATGTAATTGAGGCCGATAATAACTGTAATTCCTCTCGGTGCGTGCGATTTAAATCGTAACGTGTAACCGGGTAATGTGTTGATATCACGAGAAGGAAGAGAAGCGGGAAAGAACGTATCGACGAGCCGGATGTGACTCGTCCCGCGCGACTTCTCGAGGCGGAGAGACGGCGCTACCGTTCGCGGGCGCGTCGCCGACGTAACGGCGGACTCAGGTTGCCCCCCCTCTCCCCGTCCGATGACAAATTACTTTCTCGAGCCGTGAACGGAATATCGGGTTTCGGATTGACAAACATTGACCAGCCGGATGGCTCCGCAACGCACAATTTGTAATGTCGGCAAACTGCGCGCTCGCGCGATCCTACGGGTCGGGATGGAACGCGCGCGGGCTCCGCGCGCGTGTTTGCCGTCCTAATGCATAAAAGCCCATAATATTTTAACGCGTTCATTAAAATTTACCGCGGCGGGTATTTATCGGGCCGAGGCCCGACTTGAGCTAACAAGTTGCACGCTAGATTAAAAGCTTTAGCGATAATGTGTTTACTTCAATTATACATACGATCGCGCGAGGGAGCGCCTCCTCTCTCTCTCTCTCTTTCACGCACACACACACACATATTCTCTCATTCCCTCTCTCTCTTTCTCTATGGGCGCATACGTGCGTCGAGTTACGCGCGTCGTGCAATTTATAATCTGAAGTGTACTCCAGCGGCCGGCGGGAGCAAATTTTGCGCGTCACGCTAATTTCGTATGAATTTACCTTCCGATTAATGCCGCGGCCTCATTGTGTCGCCGATCGAGCGTTAATTTTTTGTTCCTCCCACCTCGGTAATCGGCAATCTGTCGTTTTTCCGCCGACCCGTGACTCGCGACTTCATTGCGGGCTTGTGACCGCGCTTGGTACATCGCGCAGCGTGTAATCGCTCCGCGATTTCCACATCACGCTGTGGAAAGAATAGGCGTTTCCCGGACAAACCGCATGAATTATCTGACGCATCGGTGTTCTTTAAATTCCTTGCAGCGTGTCGCTCGAAATCCGAGTTTTCACTCGAAGCGATAGTGAAAATTCGCGAGAGTGAATGTTTCACTCGAGCTCAGAGTGATTCCCGCAAAGTGCGTTGCGAAACGGTGGAATAAATCAGATATATTCTTCGGTTTCGAGTGAAATTTGAGAAAAAATGAATTCTCCGCTCCGAATCGTCGAGTGAAATCTCGTGCGAAACGAGCGAAAAGTAGCGGTATTTTCGCCCGAAGCGACAGTGAAAATGCTATCATTCAAAATCGAGAGAGTGAATGTTTCACTCGGGCTTAAAGTGGATCCCGACTCCGTATGAGCGCGCGTTTCAATCGATTAGAGCAAATATATTCCCGTGACGGTGAAATACATCAGATTCACTCTTCAATTACAAAGTGAAAATTTCACTCGACAATTTCCAGAGTGGAAAATTCACTTTATGTGAGCGAAAAACCAATTCAAATTTGAGTGGCTCAGCGATCAGTTTGCTTTTCGAGTGAGATTTCATTTTTCAAGAAATTTCGAAAATACCTCCGTACGAATGAAAAATCACTCGAATCCTCGAGTGACTGCCCGGCTGTCACTTTACGTTGCGAGCGGAATTTCACCTCGAGAAATTCAGAAGGTATTGTTCGCGGGATATTTCGATAAAACGCTTCGCGTTCCTACAAAGAGCTCTGCTTTCGGGTCGATGACTTGAATCAATATTGGCGATTTCGCGAGTTCGGCCGAGTGTTTCGGCTCTCAACGCCTAATTGGGTTATGCGCGACGCCCCCGAAATGCAGGTTCGAAATTCGCGAGCACATCAAGATTACGCCGATTTCCGTGGATTCGGTTTACTTTAGTCATTGGCAGTTTAAGCGATAAGAACACAGCTCGATTGAACGGAGAAAAATAAATTTGTTGTCGCAGCGAAACCACATCGTTGCATACTGCATACACTGAGAAAAAATATTAAACAATTTATTTGTAACGTATAAAATTTACTTCACATAAATAAATCTTATTTTTCTGCAAAATAAATGTGTTATCCCACGAATAAATTTTTAAGTACCTTTTTTTTTAACGAACTTCTCTTTAGGATACATTAATTTGCCGTTAGTAAATAACAATATATGGTGTTTTTCCACATTTACTAATTTCCTCTTACAGTAAAGTAACTTGTAGATTCGGCAAAATATATCCAGCGAGTGGCAATTAGTCTCTCTTAATAAATCGTTTCGCTGTCCACACAGTGACCGATAGATTTCCCTGCGACAGCATAAAATTTGCCGCGTCAGCAAATCATTTCTCTCCGTGCGCTGACGCGATCGTCTCTTGGACGTCATCAGTGCAAATAATATAGCACATTAGTATGTTCAGCTTTACATAATTACACCCTCCTCCCCTCATAAAATTATTATTATTATTATTAGTACGCAAATGCGAAAAACGGTCGATTCGAGACACGCGCTGCGCCGGGGAATCAGACGTGCGAGACGAAATTACGTGAGAGAGAGCGTCGTAAAAGTTAGACTTGGAACCCCCGGAGTTAAAAGTAACCCCTTGTCCGACGAAATCCCGGTCGACGACTCCGTCGAGCAATCGCGGGACTCTAAAAATCATTGACACTCGCGTGGGACCACCCGCGTCGCGTCGGCTCCGCCAAAGAGAGTCCCCCTTCAGTCTCGAGAGTGTTTAAAGACTGGAACAACACATACCTGGAGACCCGGCCGCCTCGACCGGTGCGAGAGTCACGGTGTTTGCACAGAATTAGTGGAATAGCGACTCTCTCTCTCTCTCTTTCTCTCTCTCTCGGTGGAAACACCGAGCGGTGGAAACGTGGGAGTAGGAGTCGCACGGGAAAGGACAAAGAAAAAGCAGCTCGGGAAAACCGAGAAGGCACGCTGTTTCGTGGACTCTCACGATCGCGTCGACTCGACGACTCGACAAATCCCGCAAACAGACGAACGACTCGGGGAACTACCGCTGCCTTCGCGTTTTGGCAGCGAAAGCTCGAGTCCTCGGTAAATTGCTTAAAGAGCAATAACGGAAAATCAGCGGGAACGAAAAGTCCGCAATTTTTTACGCTAACGTATTAACGATACACACCAAAAAGAGGATTTGGTAACAATTATCAAGATTTGGTTAAATGGTTTTAACTAAATTGTTTGGTTACAGCGACCAAATCATTTAGTACCACATATTGTATATAGTATATCGTACTGAATAATTTGATTGCAGCTAATTAAACAATTTAGCTGAAACTACTTAACCAAATCTAGATAATTGTTACCGGATCCTTTTTTCGGCGTGGAATGCACGCGGCACAGAGTAGGGGCAATCATGCGAATTAATGAGTAAATCCAATTAAAGCGCGTAAAAGAGAGCGAAAAATTATTTAAATTGCATCCGATCGATACGTGACACCTTTCTCTCTCTCTCCCTCTCTTCCATAGACGGAAGACATAATCGTTACGACTGGCCGATTGAATTTCACGTTTCGCGACGCCAAGAGTTTCGACGATGCAGCGATCTCGGATCTGTCGTTCCGCAGGAGAGCTCTTCAAAGTGAACGAGGGTTAAGCTATTACAATAGCTAATGCGGCAAAACGAACGTCGGCCAGGGGTGTAGATATTGATTGTCGGTTTTCATTCGGATTGATTCGGACAGGCGTGAAGGACCGATGCGTGGCCCAACGGGCGCGGTAGGAACCCGTGTTTGATCTCTCTCACGTTTTTTCGTACTTCGTTAGGTAATTCGTTCCCGCGCGTGTGTGTAATACGCGTCGGTGTGCGTCTCGCAATTACGAGTGAATGCGTTTCGCGATCGTCGAGCGATTATTTATCGGTGCCGGCGATCGTAGCGAGAAGAGTCAAAGATCAGAATCCCGGAAAGTCTGAGTCTACAAGATGTCTCTCTCTCTCTCTCTCTCTCTTTCACAGTGCCGAATCGCTCCTTTGTTGCAGGTGTGGTTCAAGAATCGTCGCGCCAAGTGGCGGAAGCAGAAGCGGGAGGAGCAAGATCGTCTGCGGAAGCTGCAACTGGAGCAACGTCAGCGCAACGACGACGGCGGCGGCGCCGCGGCGACGGTGATGGTGAGCGATCGTTTGAGCCTGAGCAGGCAGCAGCAACAGAAACTCGAGCAGGATACGGACAGCTCCGATCTCGAGGTGGCGTAGTCGGGGCCACGGCGAGATGAGTCGCGAATCCTTCCATCGGCAGCCGACGGGCAGGAGGAGGAGACACAGGGGGAGGCGAGCCGAGGTGCTTTCGCGCTCTTATCGACGACGGGGCATGTATATATATATACGTAATTCAGCTGTAAATATTATTGTAAATATGAGTAACGATGGATGTGTACAATACCGAAAATAAATTATTGCATCGGAGTACTCGACCGAGAGTGGCGACACGACGTTTGACATCTCCCTTCGCGCGATGTCGCATCTGAGATGAGGGAAGGGTCGATGCGTTTTTACAATACTTCGGTTGCAAAAGTGAAGTCACGACGGGACAAAAGTCGAATTTATCGAGCCCTTTCCGAATTTTCCGGGATTTTCAATCCGACGATCCGCTCACTCGCGTTGATCTTCGAATCTCAGCCGAATACGGCGAAACCTCCTCGTTACGCGAACACTTCGCTCAACGCTTCCCACGGCGCGGCGAAGTGTCTGTGTTTAAACCGCGAGAAAATTTAAATCCCGCGACACTACTGTCGCGCGCTTATTGTTATTCCTGGCGCGCAACCCGGTTTTGCGACAATATTTTCTTATTGAAATCGCTTCGCTGTTGTGGAAAATACATTCTCGTTTATATAAACGTTTACACGCGGCTCCGATTCCTCCGCGCATAAATATTAAAGCCCCGTCGATCGTTTAGGAATTTCAAAATGCTCGCTGTTGGGAGGCAAACTCACGCTCGGGACCGACCTACCGTACGCACGATGTAGGGGGATTCAGAGTCAGTTGTTGAACAAGAAACAGTTGCTCATGCGCACACGGAACAAAAATTACTATTAATTCGAGCGATTCTATATATGCGACAGTTCTGTTAAAAATATCGCATTCTTGTTATCCCCGATATGTAAACCAATATAAAACCTAATATAAGGATATCGCTTCTATGAAAAAATTCTATAAAGTTCCGTTAAGAATTTCATATTCTTGCTATTCGGGAATAATGTTCATCAATTGGTAGGGAAATATATTGAATAGTGGAAGAACGTTATCTTCAAACCGGAAATTCGATTGAAGATATCGTTCTTCCTGTATCCGATATTTTTCCTCACAATTCGCAACAAAATCGTCCTTGAGTAATAAGAACAATAATAAGAATATGATGTTTCCGGTGCAACCATGTAGGGAATTTCTTCGCGCGAGCTAGATTAATTTTCATCAGTTTTCAAGATTACATTGCGCGGGAAAATGAATCGGCTCTCACGGCTAAAAACTCCGTCTGGCGGCTAAATGTCATCTGTATCACACGGACAGTCAAGTTTTAGCTGTGAGAGCTAATTCTCGCTTTCTGGGTTGGCGCAAAAAATTAATTTCGTCCCCGCTCTTCTACTTCCGCCTCCCCGCGGTTCTGTTCTTCCGCTCGTCAGCGGCGCGCGTTCTTCTCCCGAGCCTCCTCGGCCTCGCTTTCGCGCGACAATCAAACGCAGAAGCCGGCGCTTCGACGACCTTGAGGATCTCCACGGGGTTGAGGGTGAATCGGCTGCGGTCGGATGAGCCGACGGTCGCCACCAGCATCGTGAGGAATTTACGGAACGACGTGGCTCTCATCAGGTACGGCGCGCCGTGGCCGTACTTGAAGAGCGGCGGGCCGAAGGAGTTGACGTCGCACATGTAGTAAGCGCCGCAGAACTTGAAGAGGCCGAGGCAGGCGGTCTCGCAGGTGAGGACGGCGAACAGGTGGTCGGCGAACGTGCGTTCGAGCGAGCGCCACAGACACTCGTCCGACTTGGCGTACAGTCTGCCGGGGACGGCCGGCAACATCCGGGCCTCGAACACGGTCCCGCCTATCTCGAAGCGGTCGCTCAGGTACCGGCAGCTCACGTGCGCGTACTCGCCGGTCTTCCCTTCGGCCTCGAGCTTGCTGCGCGCGTAATACCGGTCCCCGCACATTACGATCACGTCGAGGATCTTCGGGCCCCAGTACTCGGGCGCCGTGATCCTCGTCATGCCGGCGCACACCACGTAGCAGGCGTACGTCTGCATACCGCGATTCGCTCGCTCGAACATGCCGTCGGTCACGTGTATCTGGCCCCAAAGCGAGAAGAGCCGGTTGAATTCCTCGACGTAGTAGTGATGCCACCTCTCTTTGCCGCTCGGACGCCGCTTCCGGCCGCTGGCCGGACACCTGCTCCACGTCACCGGGAAGCGCTTCAGCCACGTGACCTTTTCCCTCGTGTCCCGGGTGCCGTCGTCGTCCGTTCGATCCGTCAGCTCGCCGTCGCTGACGTCGAGAGGATCCGACGGGCACTCGTCGACTCTTCCTGACGGCCTCGGGCCGCGCTGCAGCAGCTTCAGGTTGTGCAGCTGACAGCAGTGGAAGGTCACGTGGAAGATCTGAATGTCGAAGACGTCCCTCTGAGATTGTCGAGCCGGGTCCGTTGGCGCGTAGGCCCTCAGTAAGAGGATCATCAAGTGCCTCCGCAAAGAGTCCCTGGAGCAGAACTTGACGATGCAGGCGCGGCCCTCGTCGTCCCAGAAGCCGTACTTGTCGCAGCGATACGGGTTGTAGAGGTACCAGAAGAGGCCGTCCTGCCAGAAGGCCAGGGAGAACCTGCTCGTGCGGAGGACGCAGTTGCGGTAGCGCGCGGCCAGCAGGTCGAACCACTCCTCGATCCGCCGCGTGTCCTCGTGCACCGGCGCGCTCGCCGGCTCCGTGATCTTCCGGCAGCCGAGCTCCACCCGGACCTTAAGCGGGTCCTTCCTCGGCAACGCGATCTGCTTCTTCAACTCGCTCTCCTCGTACTTCCCGTCGACCTCTCGCGCCACCGGCACGTCCCTCATCTCCTGAATCAGCTCGAGCTCGACGCTGTACTTGTAGTTGTACACGACCACGTCGTCGAAGCGTTGCCTCCTCCTCACGTTGATCGCGCCGACGTGGGTGTAAAGCGTCCAGGCGTGGTCGTAGATGTAATCGATATTGGCGCCCCACGCGTACTTGTATCTTGGGCGCGAGAATGTGCGAAATAACGTCAAGTCGCGGAATCGACCCGGTCTTCCTCGCGAGAGAGGAGCCGAGGACGACGAGACTCTTTCGTTTTGTTGACGGCCGCTCCCGTGACTCGGTTCCTCGGGGGAACGTAGTACACGGAAGAGAGAGTCGGTCTCCACGGCTGAGAATCAGCTGTCCGTATGGTACAACTGAAATTTCATCAGACCGGACCTAGTTTTCGGCTGTGACAGGTGATTCTGTTTTTCCCGTGCACGATTATAGTCATAGGAATTAACCGCCACAGCGAAAAATTCAGTCTGGTAATTAAATCGCAGTTGTATTACATACAACTGAAAGTAGTAGCGGCTGGGTTTTTAGCTAATGGGAGCTAATTCTTTCTTTTCCGTGCGCGTGTTGTTCTTTTTTCAACGCACTTGCTTCGTACGGGAAAGAAGATTAACTTCGGTAGCTGAATTAGTCGCGACATATGGACACCTGAAACTTCAGCAGCGCGAGCAATTTTAATCGCTGCACTGGCGAACTCTCTTGTCGCCGCGGCATACGTATTATAGTAAGTGACATTTGCGATTTCAGTTCCTACGGGTAATTTATTCCCCGAGCGGAAACAAGAGGAAGAAAGGGAAGGAGGAACTAAGAACTCGGGTTAAGCGTAAACAGAGGAAGCTTCGACTCCTGCACAACCGGAATCTCTTATCCTTTCGCTTGCTTCCCCTTCGAATAAGTCTCGGGTAAAAATAAGCGAAATGAAAAGGAGAAAAAGACGTAAACGAAGAAAGATTAAAGTAGAACTGAATTAACTCGAATCAACGTTAAACTTGTCGAAATACATCGAGCTTGAAACACGGTCGCTTCGATACTTCCACGGAGAAAGAAAAAGGAAATTAGCTTCCGTAGGCAAAAAAATTCGCTGTCCGTGCTTGTGTAATACGGCCGAAATTTAGTCGGCAAAGCCGAAGATTGAGTCCGGTGGTGAAATTTCAGCTGCGTTGTACGGAGAGCGAATTCCTTTTTCCCCTGCGGTCTCGAGGCGCGTCTCGATACCTGAGCTGAGTTTTCGCCAAGAGAGCGACGAGCGCTTGATACAGGCAGAACTTCCACGTGTTCCTGCGTTCCCGCAGCGGGCTCAGTTCCGGCAGATGCATGCCCTTCAGCCCGCGCAGCACCACGTTGGCGTACACGCACTTGCCGTAAGGGCCGTCGGTCGCCAACTCTACGACAACGTAATCACCGTCCACGAGGCCGGGACGCTCGCCGGCTGCGCGATCCACCATCAAATCCGACTTCGGCGTCGGACACGGCACCGGCGCTCGAACGTGGCCCAGCTCTTTGCGACCGGCAAGATCGCTCCTGTGCTGCCGCAGGAGAAGCTCTTCCTCCTCCTCGTCGACCTGCGGCTCGCAAGGGAACGTATCCCTCCTCTTCCCTCTCTTCGCCCGCAGCTCGCCGAGCAAATCTCGCGTAGTGCACGGCCAAACACCGGGCCATTCTCCACTTCCGATTCTCGGCAATAGCTTCCCCCGTCTTCGAAGTAGGTTCGCCTAGCCGGGAGATCGTGAATCCACTCACGTGTCGCGATCTCTCCATCGCTCCGCCGCGCGGCCGTCCTGATCGGTGACGTCGGAAGCGAGTAAATGTGTCCGAAAATTCTCGCGAGGCACGTCGAAGTGAAGAGAGACGTGTCCGTAAAATGATACTAAAATGATACAATGCACGGTTGCCGATTCTTAGAGCGAATGGGAAATTTTCGGAATATTTCACTGACACGCTCAATCGATCGCAACTGTCGTTTTACGGAGATGCCATTTTAATTCGACGAATTTCGCAAGAATTTCCGGCATACGTTCTCTCATTTCTGACGTCATCGAGCAAGACGAGGGAATTCAGAGACTGTAATTAAGGACGTCGCCGAATCTGTGCTTTCGCAAGGACGCGAACGAAGAAGACCGGTCGTCCGAGCGCGATCGAATCGCAGCTATTCGAGCTATTCGAACGGAAGGTCGTGATCGTCGGGTCCTCCGACTAACCGATTGCCTCGACCTCACGCTCCTCCAGATCGGCGTTCTCCTGTATCGATCCGGCCAGACGGGTGTCCCCCGACGACCGGATCGAAAGCCGCCGAGCGGAAAGCACCTCCGGGAAGGAGGCATCTTGTCGGCGGTTCTCGCAAGAGACAGTCTCGGGACATCGGCCGGCGCCTTCTCCGGCTTGCTCCGTAATTCCGCGTATCTACGCGAGTTGAATATTATAGTCTTCTTAGAAGCTTTCTAGTCTCGATTTCACTGGATTTGTATTGACGCAAATATAACTTGCACTCAATTTCAGATTAAACATTTAATTAATATAGTATTCTCTCTTATACGCGAGAACATCTGTTCTTGATTTCAAACTATTTCCTTTCTGCGCGGACCGACCTCCGATTTCAACCTCTAATTGCGAGCTTGTTTCATTCCGATTGGTCGACATTCAACCTTCGATATGCGATCTCAATGCAATCTCAATCTTCACTGCTTAGTCTGATACGAACTTAAGTGGGGATCGCGAGAGAAGAAGAGACGCTCCTTACGATTTCATGTAGACGCGCCAGAGCTCTCCCTCGCGGGCGCGCCTCTCGCTCACGCATCTCTCCATCCGGAATCTCCTCTTCCTCCTCTTTCGCACTCTTCCCTCGATCTCATCTCGCGCCGCGTCATCGCCGGACACGGCGTCTCCGGCGCTTTCGTACTTGGCGGTAGCGTCGTCGTCGGTTGTCGCGTCCGTCGTGACGTCCCCCGCGATTTCGCTCGTCACCGTCTCATCCTCGGTCTGATCCATGCCGGCCGGGGATCCCCAGCTTCGCCTCGATCAGGACGATCTCACGAGGCGATTTATATGCCGGCCGTGTAACATTGTGCGGGCGAAGAGTTCTTGGAAGAATCGTGAGTGTGAGAGAGAAAAACGAAGAAGGGAGAGAGAGAGAGAGAGAGATTTGTAACGTGTCTTAGCGTTCTTCGATCAGTGTGATAAGAAATCGGGCACGTTGCGTCGATGGCGCAGGAGAGATCGGCGCGTTCGAACAATCGTGAATAATTATTAACGACGCGACGCGACGAGGCGGGCGCACTTGCACGTTGACAATTTTCACCTAACCCCCGAAATGCGTAAACGCTCGCTTTGCGACGCACCAAATGAACGTCCAAATGAACGTCGTCTGCACGGAGGGTACGTTCGATTATTCGCCGCCGCAGCTAGCAGAGAGAGAGAGAGAGAGATTACAAGTGTACAGATTACATACAATTCAAATTGATTCGATTCGCGTTTTGAGACGCGGGAGTGGCGCGAATAAAAGCTCACGGCGCACCGTAATTATGAATTCGCGATAACCGCCGTGCGCGATCCGCCGGCTACTACGGGGATGATTGTTTTTCCTCGGTGCTCCACGGCGGAATTCCATCGCGGAGCGGTTTCGCCATTCACCGGTGGTAATCCGAATTCGAAGCGGCGGCAAGGGAGGGGGGGAGGAGAGGCAAACACTCGAGATAGGGAAACAGAAAGAGGGAGGGAGGGAGACAGCGGTCGGTTCGAATTTGTATAGGCCCTCGCAAGACCATAGCGGGACAGGCTCCTCGAACGCGGATGGCTTCCTGAAGCTGAAAAAATACAGGCCCGCGGCGGCGGTGAGAAGGGGGGAGAGGGGGGGGGGCGCTCCGTCGATTTACCGCGTTTCGTTCTACGATTTTGTAATTATTTTGCCGCGAGGCAGACGAAGCCGTACGAGCGATCAGGCAATCTCGGCCGCGCGAAGCCCGCCGGTGACGCAAGATTTTCAAAGTGTTTATAAAATTACGGGCGCGATACGCCGCGCGACCGAAATAACGCGAAACCGTACATCGGCCGGGCCGACGCGGTATTCAAATCATTATTGGATTTGGGAGCCCCGCGCGTGCACGGATGACGGACAAATAAATCGTATTTCGAATGCCACAAAGTCGGCGTCGCCGATTTCGCAATCGCCGCGGAGAGCTCGCGCGACCTGCTCTCTCTCTCTCTCTCTCTATGCGCACGAATATAACCGAAATTCATTACGCCGCATCGCTTCTTGCGTACGCGAGTGCGTGCGTGCGCGTGTGCGAGCTAAAAATTGCCGGTTACCGCGACAATTTGATTAACGCCGTTTTCGGAGATGTCGCGACCGAGTCTACTCGTCGGGAATGTGCTAGACAAAATTTATTTATTATATTTCGTACTTATATTTATCACTTATTATTATATATTAATATTTATTATGTTGATTATTTATAATTATCTAATTGTAACTCGCGAGAGGATCGATATAAGCGCGGCCAGCTTGTAACGTCGCGAATAATATCCGTCGGGGTTAATCGTCGATTACGGTCTATAATAATTAGACGACGTCTGACAGCCACACGTACAGCGGAAGTTTCGACGAATTCTCGAATTCTTGCAAAGCCCATTTTACGCTACAACTGCCTCGAGTCGCAGAGAGACTCGCGTCACTTTCTGCGCGCAGAACGAGCTGCGCGCAAACGGTAAAACGTTATCCGCAATAAAAATCGCTTATGCTCTCGCGTGCATTATATGCTAGCCGCGCGAGAACGCGTTTACAACTTGTGAAAAACTCAAGAAAAATACGTATCGTTGCGCCGCTGCTAACGTACGAGCGCGCGCGCGCGTTCCGAAATTAATATCCGCGGCCTTTGTTCGCGCTATTTGCAAGTTTGTGCTTTTCCACGGCAGTCAAACGGACCAGTTTGGCGCGAGAGCGCGGTGTAAAGTTTTTAACGTTAATGAAATGACAAATGTATGCGAGGTGTAAGGGGGAGGGTGTTTCGTTCGCTGCTGAAACGCGCCTCTCGTGCACCGCCGCCGTATTACGGAATTCGCGCGAAGCTCGGCGGTACGACGCTTTTCGCCGATTTTTCACGAGTAATTCGACGAGAACTCGCCGGCGAGGAGGTGGCCGACGGCAGGCGGGTGTCTCTCGTGGGGATCCCCACGGTATCGAGGACGAGGTCGAAGTACGGAATTCGAATTCGAGGCCGGGATCAGCGGCTCTGATCGGCCCGACGTCGGCCGCGACGTTTTCCGGGGAGAAGTTTTCCCGGGAATCGAAGATCAAGACAATTCCCGGTGAAAGTTTAATGCAAAGCTCACGGAGACACTCGAAGAGACGTAAACTCGTCGGGAAGACGGATTGATTGCTTGCGCACCGCGGCTAAACCTCGGGAGCACACACATAAATGAATTATCGCGATCGATCATCGCAAGTCGGTCTCTCCCCGACCACCCTTCCCCACCTTCTCTCTCTCTCTCTCTCTCTTGCTCTTTCGCGAGCCAACTCTAGCGTTGAGAACTTCAGCAACGATCCCGAGGATTCGTCGAGTTCCCCGACGCGATTCTCAAAGTCGAGATAACTTCGACACGACGCGGAATATAATGATTCGCCGCACACCGTGTCCCGTTAACGCGATTCGACGAAAAAAAATTAACGAGTCACGGCGATCGATCCGTCGTCATTCCCCGCTCCGGGAGCAGAGGAATCAACCTGCAAGAGAAAGACGGTAACAGTGACGGTGAAAAAAAAAGAAGGGAAAGAAAATGGTCTGTACTGTTAAAATTCCCAATTTGATTAGTTTGCACATCTGTAGTGCAAACGCTACTACGCTATTACGCCCGCGGCGGGACAGGTGATATATCGCCCTCTCTGGAATACCTGTAAACCTGATTGAAATTATTACAAGGATCGCGTTGTATTGCCATATTGCTAGAAATTTCGGAGGGACGCGGCACCGAGAATCGTCCCGAGGGGTGAAGAGGGACGAAGCGGATTGCCCCGTGCACATAACATATACACGGTACGTTTCGGTATAATATGTAGTTGTTTCGAAAGGAGGAACGAGGGGGAATGATTTGAGAGAGGGAGAGAGAGAGAGAGAGAGAGGAAGAGAACGAGAGAACGCGAGAGAGTGCAAAATAAACAGTGCATTATATGCAATAACGCACAAAACACCCCTACGGCTGTGCAGTCATCTCCTTCGAAAGATTCGGCCGCGAGTGGGCGCGCGCGCGGGCAATCCAATTAATTTTATTTTAATTACCGCATCGTCGGGCATACGTCGATTGTTATTGTTTCGACGTCGATGAATCGACCGTCGCCCCGTAATTTTGCCGCTGACAATTTCCGCCGCTCGTCCGCGACGCGACACCTGCGCAAATGAACACGTCCGTCGTTCCTTCGAAATAGCCAATTTCCCCGTTATTTCTTAGGACAAACGCCCGTTAAACAAAAAAAAAATAAAATAAAATAGAAAAACAAAGGGACGACGAGCAAACAAAAATCAATTACAATCGATCAATTATGAGTGTGATATTACTCGAGGTTACACATCGCGCGCGCGCGAGACATAGGCTTATATATATTATTGGACAGTATATTATTAGCTAACTCTTTTATGTGCTGTATGCAAAAAATTGGCCCCTCAAAGTATGCGTTGCGTATCATTTGTTAAATAGAATGGAAGAGGAGCAGCAGCGAATAAATGCAATATTGCCGATGTCTACAATCGATTAGACGCGAATGTCTGCACCACTTATACGACGATTTTGTACATATTTTTCGGAGTCATGTATTTCGTAGGAGTTAGCTTTATGATCCAATAGTGTATGGAAGTTTATGGCACGAAACAACGTGGCCCAACGTCGCCCAACACGAGGCAAAGGTTTCGCGACGTTCGAGCGACAAATTACCGACACGCTTCCTCGATTCCGTCGCGACGACTAAGATTACGTCGATAATTTTCCGGAATTAGCAGCTAGAAGGAATCAAGCCGGGGATAACTTGAGCGAGAAGGGGCTCTCTCTCTCTCTCTCTCGCTCTCGCCCGCTCTCACCTCGCTCTCTCCGGAGGAGAGAGTCATTTTCCTTAATTTCACGGGGAGTACAGTGTACTGACTTTGTTTGAAGTGAAAACAGCCGGCATTAGGGTTAAACGTTGAATCGGCGCTCGGCTCTCGCGAGTTCCGCGGCTCTCCTTCGGTGAGAGGGAACGCACGATATATCCACGCAAGACAAATCCCTTCGGCACGGGTACAAGTAAGTTTCCGACGGGGAAACGCGTCGTATCGCGCGGGACGACGCGCGGCCACACCAACGGCGGCTGCGGAGGTCGTCGAGCCGGCGATCGATGGCATTCGATACACACACACACACACACAGAGAGAGAGAGAGAGAGTCGGCGAGGAGTTAAAAAGTCGACGTATTGAATTTACAAACGAGCCGTAATATTATTCGAGGAAACAAACAAAGGCCGCCGCACTGGGTGGCGGACGAATTAAGCTATTTTGCCCTACACGCGCGCACATTGTGCGCGTCACGTCAGCGGCGGAATTATTTGTACGTCATTACTAATGCGCAGTCGCGATAGAGTTCGATAATATTACAATAATTAAATTATCGTAATATCGCCGGCGGAAAAGGGAGGCGAGTATGAATTTGTTGCGGTTAAATATATAATAAAGCGCTGCTTAAACAAGGGCCGATGCCGGTTACACAAAACGCACGTTAAACTAGTGAATAATTCAACGATTCATTTCCGATATAGAATTTAATCATCCGCCGTTAAAAGCACGACAGAAACCGCGGCGTCGCCGGTGGTATTAATCCAACCGGCTCCTTATCCTAACCGGCCGGCGCGTCTAGTCGTCGCGTAATCCGCCGGTGAATCCTGACTGAATCTCGCGGCTGAATCTCGGCTGTAATGACGAAGACCGCGACCGCCCTGTTTAATCCTGATAAAATCAAGAGGGTTGCTAAGC